ATAATCAGCCATGTTACATATTCTCCTTCAGAGGAAAACCCATCATATGCTTACCAGAAATACTTTCGAGACTTTTGTGTGACTGAGACAACACAAGTGTGAAGGAGAATCAGAGTAGCTGCTGGGAGATTCTGATGGAAACAATGTCACCGTCTGTTCCTGCTTTCATCGCGTGATACTTCACAAGGATTCCTGCTATTTAGATATATGTGTATAAGAATCATAATTTCTTTTCTTCTTGATGAAGATGGTTTTGATTATGCCGAGTGATACCGGAATTTGTGTACCTTGGTTTTCTTGCAATCTTGTGTGAACAGCGACTGCGTGAGGTGCGATAACTGCTTTTGTTTGGAAATCACCTGGCTCTCCGGTCCAAGACTTGAGATGGAGAATAGCTATAAAGTTTTCATTTCAAGAGGTGTGAACCAGAGGCAAAGATTTAAAGAGGAGAAAAGGAACATTAGAGTGTAATTTGAATTTGAAATGACCTGAGGATGAGGATGCTTTTAGGTGTTTGAGATCAAATATGGCTCCACAAGCTGCACGTGTATCTTTCTTTATGTTGTGAGATCCAATAAGATTGTATTCCCAGCTTCCATCTTGATAGCCTTCGTTAAGGAAAAGTTCAATGTGCCTAGCATCAAGTGTTTGCATTGTCCCTACACAATAAACAGAAAGCACTCATAGTTGCAGAGACTGATACTCTAACCTCAGTCCTAATGTTTCAATTACAGACTAGAGTTGATTAGTGTTTTTTACCATGACAGGTACTGAGGTCACAAACAGGGCAACGAACAAGCTGAAAATCTGGAAAAAACATAAAGCCATGTTACATATTTTCCTATATAGTGCAATGTTCCTGAGATCATGATCATGAATAAGAAAATTTTCTTACCTGCWATCCAAATACCGSTTTTYARSTCTCTAATAACACATYAYCCACTGGATTSCAGCATCCGWTRYATGGTTCCTTCCCTTGGAACTTTCAGTTGACCACTAAAACTCTCAGTCAGGAGTGACATTCGAGAGTCAAGAGTAAAGGCACCAATGCGCATCCAGTCTATAATTACATTGTCAAAACCAGTCAAATTGAGGTAAATCAATCCCATAAATCAATTTTATGACATTGACATATAATTACTTCAATGTCAAACATCTAAGCTAATGATAGAGTAAATCAATTCCATAAAAAGAGAATATCCGCGTTTTTCCAATTTACCAAATATATGATGAATTTAATTCAGGGGGCTGACCAATATGTTTTTCCTGCTGATGGAACAAGTAAGAGTGACTCCCATCTGCAGTGTTCATATAGTTAACCATTGTATTGAAATCAGAAATTGCTATGAATGTTATCTTCTTTTTCTGATGTAATATGTATAATATACTTACCAAAAGCTGAAGCATATAACTTAATCCAGGTGGAAGAAACTGGAGACGACTCAAGGACCTGAAGATCACGCAAGCAGGCAAACCTCCAAACACTTTCCTCCTCCATTACGAATTTGTTGAACCATTTGTTTGTGGCTCCCAGCATCACCAGTGATTTACCATCCAAAAACCTTGAAATGTATGTCCATATATCTTTCTCAAACCTGATTACACAGAGAACATACACTCGGGAATCTAACATATAAACTTAGATCTAAGAAACCTGATTCAAAATTGAACAAGTTAAAGCAATCGGTTTTCAAATTCTACCGAAGATTTGATTCCGAGATTTGAATTTCCAGAAAGTGCCGAAGATGATTGATCGAGCTCTAAGTTCTAGATCCATCCAATACAGTGGGAATAAACGCATTTCAAAATCAAATTTGAGCTCAACCCAAACTCTCACAGATCCCATTTCGTTCATAAAATCGAAAACGCGTCTAGTCTAGAGAGGGAAGGAAATACCATGAGAAGCTGGAACGGTAAGTATAAGCAGAGCATCGAGGTGATACACAACCACGGATTCCTTTGAGGATCTTCTTCCCGTTCTTCTGTTCGTTGCTCTGAACCGCCGGTCGTCTCTTCGCTCTACCATTGTCGTCTCCTTCACGAGCTTTCCTCTTCCCTCTACCATCTGCTTCGATATCACCAGATCTCCTCCTCATTCTCACCCTCTCTCTTCACTCAGTATCTCACAAGTCGCTAATTTGTTAAGAAGAAAATTGGTTCGAATTTTGTTATAGCTCTGGATCGTGTGGTTGTGATTATATACCCGCGAAGGAGACGACGCAGCGAATTCAAAAAATTTGAATTTCAAATGACGTATTTACCCCTGTAACAAATTTTCTGGCCCCACATCATCTCTCAGATGTGAATAGTTAAAATACAAATTTTATATCGGTTCGAGCTTCGAACCCGGTTAAGCATCAATAGACCGAGAGTATCCTCCAAGCTATTTTCTTTTGCCATCTAAAATATATATATATATGTATTGATAATGATGAAAGACATAACCACAGCTACATTTTACCCAGTGTGGTTTTTTACTCGTTCATGATCAATCAAATCGAGATGACATATAGAAGAAAATTTAGAAACAATATTTCTTAAGAAATTAAAAACTATCAACACTTGAACATTGTAGACCTCAAGGATCAATCAAATCAGATCAAATGTTAAGTATTCTTTTGTTACCTATGAAGGTTTTTGTGTGAAAAGAGTATCGATCTTGATATCCTTTGAAACTACACCGATAAAATAAAGACAAATCCGAGATCACTCGCAATGCCACGGCTTCATGTTTCTCGAAATTCATGTCCCGTGCCCAAAATCCATCTCCGGAGATATATATCAACTAGTTAATTAATATCAACATGCAAAACAAACATGATCTAATATCTGAAGTTTAATAAAATGTTTTTTATATGATTTATGATGTACCGAACGTGGCAGATCCATACGTCGTGGAAGTTTCTGTTATTGGTGATGATTGTACGGTCCATACCATCACCAACTAGCATGATGTTTTTCATGTTTCTATCTATTTCGATTTTCTCGTTATAAACACCCGCTTTTATGTAGATTATCACTCTATGCGACCGGCTTTTACCCATTCTTGACACGGCGGCTAATGCTTCTTTTATTGACCGATGAGTCGCCGAACCGTCCTTAGCCACCATGAAATATGCCCTCGACTTTGTCGGACTCCATGACACTAACATTCCTCCACCCTGATTTGGTCTCGTCATGGGTCGATGGTTTGGTTTCTCATCATGGGTCCGGGGTTTGGTATTGTCGGTCCATGGTGTGGTCTTGCTGGTCCATGGTTCGGTCTCGCTGTTTCGTGCATCCCTACATAAATTAATAGAGATTTTTTTTTATATATAGCAAATCGTGAGATTGTGTTTTCGGAAGAAAAAAATCGTAAAATATAATTCAAACTAATGTGTTTGCATATAGTGAGAAAATAATGCGTCTAACGGAAAGCGGTCACTCGCTAATACGACAAACTTAGTTATGCATTTTACTAACTTGAATTCAAGTGGAAGGACTTGACGAAACTCCCCCATTTTCTTGAGGTACTTGAATAATCTTTAGATGCGGCTACCTTTTGTTGTTATGAAATTTAAGTCCTTTTCTCTTTGGCGTTGTGCTAACACACTTGGTTGTTTTTATTCAACGAGTACTGTTTGTTGCCAATCTCTCTCCCCAGACTAGAATATTACATATGTAAGTAGCACCTTTAATTTCCACTAATCCTTCTCGGGAGCAAGTTTTTTCATGACTGATAATTTTATCCTCCACTTTTACAGCAAAAAAATTCTTATTGTAAACCACGAGCGTAAGCATGTGGGCTATGGCTTTGTTGAGTTTGCTTTTGCTAACGAAGCAAAAAAGGTGAGAGTAGCTTTATACTTATGATGAAAAATGTACAATTATATATTTGAAAGTACCATAGCTAGTTAAATCTCTTATACGGTAGGCGCTGGAAAAGAAGAATGGTGAATATTAATTTGCATGATCATAAGATTTTTCTTTATGTGCCTATGAAAGCTTCATACCCTCCACGACCCAAGTAAACTGGTTTTCCATGTTCTGTATATTTGTTTCTTGAACACTGAATTTTGATGCCATTACAGAAGACTAACGCTACTGTTTTTTTGTTGTTGATTAGGTACAACCTTGTAGAGAAGTTTTGGTAAGTGATTTAACTATTTGCCTTTTGAGTTTTGTTATCAAGACCTCATTGTGTATACATGGAGAGATCACTAGGGTTTTTGATATTTCAGCCCTTCCACGACATAACCTTGTGATAGAAGAGGATGAGAAAGTTGAAGAAACTCTCGATATTCTTGAGGTACATGTTCAAAATATGTCAGGCTCAAACGTTTAATGACATAACTGTTTAGCACAAAGTCGAAAGTTGATTTATTTTAGTCTTTCTCTCCTTAGAGTCATGCTAACACACTTGGCTGTTAAATTCAGGCAGACAGTTGGTGTAGGAGAAAAGTCGCTCTTTGTTTCCCATCTCTCTAGCGAAACTGAAATATCAGAGATATGTAAGTAGCAGCCTATAATTTCATCTTTCGATCTTGGAGCAAGTCCTTCCATACTAATATTTTTTCCTCCATTTTTAGAGCATCGATTTCTTCAAAGATGTTGAAGAAGTTGTTCATGTTCGACTTATTGTAGACAACATAGGCAAGCAGATTTGATGGAAGTGTGGGAGTCGAAACTCGAGCAATATAATTTGTCTTAGGGTTTGAGGAATAGAGATTTATATTGTATGAATCATGGAAAGCAAAAGATAAAAAAATCGGTTTTCCTTATTGATGTTTCTGCGAATCAATCTTTACAAGTGTATGCGAAAAGTTGTGGATCCCCCTCAATGAAGGGGTTACAAACATGTTTATAGCTTCACTCCGCGGCTAGGGTTTCTGCCAAGGAGATAGAGATGCCTTCTTTATTCTGCGGGATTCTTCCTCCGCGGAGTCCGCTACATGATGTGGGCTTCTCTTCACAGCTCGGCCCACTCCGGGATGTTGCGGCCCATTTCTTGTTTTCCATTGCGCCGCGGTTTGGATTTTCGGTTTGCCGCGGGTCGCATGTTTGGTTCACTGCGGGTCGCATGTTTGGTTTACCGCGGGTTTCTACAAAAGGACTTCCGCCGGAAATCTGTTGTCTGTTGATATTTTTCCATACTTAGCCAATTTTTAGCCATTGATCTCCAAGGGATGGATTTTGACCCCTACAGGAAGCACTGGTAGTGAGTTGAGCTTTAGGTAGTGCTTCAACTCAAGTTATTTCAGATGATGAAGTTTCTTGATGCTTTCAGGTAGGTTTTCTAAATCGTTTCTGCTTAGGCATAAACTGAGCAGCGACGACAAGCAACTCAAGTTGTTGGGCAACTTGTGGAGATTGCAATCTGTGAGATAAAGGTCTGATAAGCTAGAGCAGCTTGAGAAAGGCAGGAACTCCAAACCTGTTGTCCTGGACTTTAGATCCACCAAATGTAAACATCTTGAGATTACTCATACACAATTTTCTAGGTATCTGTTTAATGGCCGTTTCGTCCATAAGCAAAACCTCCAAATGTTCCATGTCCTAATCTATGTCTGGGAAACACTCCAGTTTTGAACAGCCAGAGAGAATCAGTTCTTGAAGAGATTTCAGCTTGCATAGATTGCTGGGAAGATGCAACACTTCTTTAAATTCAGCACAACTAAGAACCGTAGGCTCTCTATGGATTCATGAACTATTCTAATTGTTGTCCCATCCAAATAATAGAGATTCTATGTTTACTGAAATAGTTGGGAACGTTCTAAGCTTTGAGCAACCACTGAGGATAAGAGTCTTCAAAGATTTCAGACTGATTTAGTAGCATTCATGTGCTTTTTCAATTAATATATAAAATTTCCATTCGTAAATAATAGGATTAACTTATTTCTTTTAAAAAAATATATAACCATTGTTTTAAACAAACAAAACGAAATTGAAAAATAAATAGTTCAAACGAGTGTCTTGAACAAACAAATAATAAGAGTTCCAGGGCAAGGAAACCTCAACCTAATTCATTATCCCTTCTCCATGCGCCGTACTGACCTTCAGTAACAATTTCACCACACTTTCTTGCACGTTTAAACGTTTGTTTTTTCGAATATATGCCTACAAGATGTATATGAAACATGAGTAATTGGAAACGTTAAAACATAAAACTGTGGAAACCAGCAACTATTTTTTTCTTTCTAATCTTGTCTCTATTATGACTGAATCTAGAAGCAATTCAAAAACACAAACAAAAACAACTTACACTTTTGATAAATAGTAGACAACTTAAATTTAACAAATCTAACAAAGAGATACAAGTGATATTCTCCACCAAATTAACAAAGATAAAGACGACTTAACAAATGCAACTCACGACTGATTTTTTTTTTAAAGTATGTTATCCCACATCGGACTTTAGGAAAAGAGAAATACTAAACAATTTCATTGAATAACAACATGCGATCAAATGTATAACAAAGCCCATGCCTAAAAGTCTTAAGATTCATTACTCATAATTGACCCAGTTCAATGTTTTAAAGCCTCTTAGCAACAACCTAAGTCAGGAAACCAATTTCACATTTGGGGACCAAACTGTTTACAAGAAATCGAAATTGGAAGTATATACATATTTTCCTCTGTTGGAAATCTATCTATAATTATCGTCAAGAAAATCTTACCCCTAGCGTTAGTGGTCGCTGGTGCTTATTAAATCGAATCGTGTCATAAATACTATCCACCTGCGAGTGAAAAAGTTAAAACAGGTTGTTGCTCAAATGGTTAGACGATGAAACAATGTATTGGTACAAGCAGAGAGAGAGAGAGAGGTTGCTTACTCTCAGTGTACTAATTTACTGTAACACTTTGAAAGCTTTGTATGACGTTTTGTCGGATTATATTATCTTTCAGTGGAGCAAGTGTTTTACTGTCTACTGTGTTTTTAACGACCTCAGTGTATGTAAACTATGTTTTTGTAAATCCACGACCTACTCGTGTTAAACCCTAAACCCTAAATGCGATTCCTGAAGTTTAATTTCATAACTCTAGATCTTTTGAAAATAACTTGTATGGGTGTGATTTGTATATCCTCGAAATGGGCATGTTGTTGTTATATTTGCGTATCATATGGGTCTAATAGATTGGGCCCAAGGCTTGCTAATCACTTACCAACCCCCAACACACACAGGGAGTG